AATAAAGTATTAAGACCAAACAAATGTCGTGATTGTGACTACAAACCATATGAAGCGATGATAACCTTGATGAAGTATAAATTACACAATTAAAAATAACTGATAGAAAGAAAAGATGAGAATTAATTCCCAGTGTACTAATTTCATCTTTATAGTTGGGGTCAAGTGATACCACATTTAGCAAATAAACAGAAATACAGATGGGAGTATAGTGAATATTCCAAGGACAAGCACTAAGAAATAGAATGTTTAGTTGTTGTTCTTTTGAGACAGGGTTTCTCTGTGTAGCCTTAGCTATCATGGAACTTGTTTTGTAGACCAGGCTGGCCTCCAACTCAGAGATCTGCTTGCTTCTGCTTCCCAAGTGCCACCAGCTCCAGGCAAGAAATATAATTTTTAAATTTAGATTGATTTGTTTTATTATTTTATGTGTGTCTGAATGCATGTGTGTGTGTGCTACATATGAAGCTGGTGCCCTGGGTGTCAGATCCTCTGCAACTGAAGTTGCAGACGGCTATGAGTCACCATATGGGTTCTGGGAACTGAACCTGGGTCCTCTGAAAGAGAGAAAAATGCTCTCAACTGCTGAGCTAATTCTCCAGCCCAAGAAATGAAATTTAATCAACTAAAACTGAATGCATGAAAAGAAAATAGAAAGAAATAAACATATGACAGCAATTATTAAAGCAGTATTTGTAATAGGAAACAACATAAGGAAAGGAATTCTTAAGCATCTATGAATAACTGGACGTGGTGGCTCAATCCTAGCACTCAAAGGCAGGGGTAGGCCAGTCTCAGTGAGTTCCAGGACAGCCCAAAAACCCCGTTTCATAAAAAAATCCACAAATAATTGAGTCACTAAATAATTAAGATATATTAAGGCAATAAAACACAATTCAGCTATTAAAAATCAAGTTGTTCAGCTACACAGTGGTGGCGCACGCCTTTAATCCCAGGATTCGGAAGGCAGTGGCAGGTGAATCTCTGTGAGTTAGAGACCAACCTGGTCTATAAGAGCTAGTTCCAGAACAGCTCAGGCTGTGAGACAGAGAGACCTTGTCTTGGAAAACAAAAAACAAACTAACAAATCAGTATGCTTGTATAGTGGAGTGAGGAAATGGCGAAGTTATTCACATACTTCTAAGTGTATGTGTTTGGCTGTATGTGTCTAGAATGTGTATGGACACATGCTGTGTCTTTGTTGTTTTTTTTAAGATTTATTTATTATGTATTCAGTGTTCTGCCTGTGTTCAGGCCAGAAGAGGGCACCAGATCTCATTATAGATGGGTGTGAGCCACCATGTGGTTACTGAGGATTGAACTCAGGACCTTTGGAAGAGCACTGAGTCATCTCTCCAGCCCCATACTGTGTCTTTGGAATAATACCCAAGACATTGTGCAACAACATTGCCTCTTGTGGGGAAAAATTGTGTATTGCTGAAAGAAAGGAAATTGGAGATTTTGATGTATAACATGCTATTTGGGGAATTTTGAGCCATTAGGATGGTCGTGTAATTGGCATACTTAGAGCAAATGAGGATATTCTAAAAGAGTTTCTCACTCTGGCGATCTGGACCATTGAAAAAAGGCACCCCAGAGAACTAGACTACACTTTTTCGGAAATCCCAAGCTGGGGGAAGGAAAAGACTGAATGAAGCCTGGTGCTAGCCAGAGAGGGAGAAAAGGGATTTTGCATAGTGTGGACAACTTGTCAGACTATCTTACAAGAGAGAGTGGAACCCAGACAATGGTGCTTCCATGATGGTTGGAACCACACCTTGACCAGGGCTGCTTGATTATGTGCACTCTTGCCTTCTACTTAAACTTTACTGTCATGTCAAGACTCTGAAGAAAGATTTGGCAAAAGACACTGTATGTCTCTTTGTCACTCTTCCCAGTGTGCTCACACCTGATTTTGCTTTTCATTATTAATTTTGCTCTTTTAATTGGCTTTTTTAGGATGAGTGGCAAGCCTACCTTGTTAGGACTGCCAAGGCAGAGTCTCTGGCCCTAATACAGGCAGCAAATAGATGGTCTATTTAAACAAAAAACACCTTTGAATTTAAAATGCAGTGGAAGGAGCTTCTTATCTGTTATTGCCCAGGCATGTTCATAACATGTTATGTGAAATGCCTGATCATGTTTCCTGATCATGATCATGGCTTCACATACTTTTATCCTTCTTAGGACTGAGATAAACATATAGCGCAATATCCTGATTGACAATGTGGGCCCCGTACCCCTGCTCATTCTTATTATTTATCATCAAGCATAAGTAAATAGAATAGCACTCTTCTAGAAACAGAAGAAAGACCTTGACTGTACATCAGTCATAACTTTTGAGTTCTCAAAAGTAATTTTTAAAATCCATAAACCATCAATCAGGAGTTTTTGTAATTTATAAAACCCGCCATATCTGGAACTGGCCTTGGCCCTTCCTTATTCTATAATAAGAATATTTTTCTTTATTTCTACAAGTCACAATATTAAGAATATTAAGAATTCAGCACTTAAAGGAAAATACTGCCAGAGAGGAACTTTATGGACAGGAGAGAGGGAATAAAGGAAAACAGCCAATTTCATGTCTCCTGCCTCAAATCAATTCCCAAATGGAAACCTTAGCAAATGTGGCTATTATATATGGCCATACATGTCCCTGAAAATTGAAGAGCACCATGGTAAGTTTTTCCAGACACAAAAACAAAAAACTAGTAAGTCCAACATGGGACAGCTCAAGCTGACAGACAAAGCAGATGTCTCAGTTAGGTCATTAATAGGGGCTGTGGCGTCTGGGGGAAGAGAACACTTGCAGACTAACTGAACCAAATGCATCTTTCTTACTGCTTCCTTCCTCTTTGAGAGTAGCCATGTTGAAATATTTGGCCATTTCCAATTGTCACTTACTGTTCGCATCAAATAACAATAGAAAAAGTACATGTATGCAAGTCTAAGAAACATAGGGTTAGAGAACACATTCAAGGACATGGCAACATAAAAAAAACAGGTAATTAATGGCACTGGTCTTGTTCTTCTCCAAGGGAAGTTATTTTTATTCAAGGTTATAACAAAGATACTCCCCCTTATGGCAAATACATTATCCCTGCTGCAACTGCATGCCTGAAGTCTTGTCTGCGTTTCCAGGAAATGGAGTGCAGGGGCCTCAATGCACCAAATCCCCAGGGGCAACAGGTGGCAGGGGAGGGCTCCAGAATGAGGGTGGAGAAGCAGTGCCCTGGGGCACACGCGAAGGTACTCTGGAGGAGCAGCAGTAAGACCAGGGCTCTTTCAGGAACTGAAGGCAGTCTGCCACAGGCTCACGCGACAGAACAGGCAGCTCAGGCCAAGCAGGGCACAGATCTGTAGATGGGGGCGGCAAGGGAGCGTGGGTGACCTAGTTCAGTGTTTGTGGAGGAAAAGCCCAGCGAAAGACAGGCACATTTTGAGATCCAGAGCTATTTTGCTATTGCGTTGTCTGTACCCATAAAGATGGGGTCTTGCGGGTATTGTTTCACAATTCCATTCCTATTCCTCCTGAATCAAAAGACCCCCCCTCCCCCTTGAAACTGGCCTCCTATTTAGGCTCCACACCAGGACCACTCAAGGGATGAGGGGGCAGACAAGAAAGCTCTGCATGAACACCCAAGCAACGTTTTCAGGAAGGCACTACCAGCAAATGAACAGGAGGGGGCGACCTTGGCCAGGACCATGTATGTGATGGAGCAGCTTTGGCCCCAGGTGGCTTACCTGGGGCACAGCTGCTCAGGAGGTGTGCTAGAAACCTCTGAGGTCCTCCCTGGGCTATGAGACAGCTGCACTGTTCAAGCCTCAAGTGCCTGGGAGATGCTTGACCACGGCACGCGATCGGGAACTGAGAGTTCTGAGATGTGCAGAGGTGTAGGGAGGCGCATGCTAATTTGGGCCAGAAGCTTCAGCAAGGACATCAGCCTGTGCCCTGCCTCTGAGCTGAGGTTGAAGAGGCCTAGCAGTGAGCTGTCACTGA